CTCCACAAGGACAGAATTTTAGGGGGGTGGGGAGTCTTGTTTATTTCTGCATTCTCAGCTCCTAGAATAGCCTGGTACATAGGAGACACTCTCTATATAAGATTATATATATATATGCAGACTCCCTATGGTGAGATAATACTTTTACAAAAAATGGTGTCAATAAAGGTGTGGCTTACAAAGATATTTATGTGGGATTTACTTTCTAGTCATCCCACTGTGTGAGAGCTGCATGGTTTCCACTAACTTTGGACCATGCTTCAAGTGTCCTCCAAAGGACCTCACTTCCCACCCTATGAGTGACACAGGCTGGGGCACTGTATCAGCAGAACATACTCTGGCTCATGTCTCATATGTAGAAACAGAAGTAGATGGGGGTGGAGTCCCCCATGGGAACCCTGACCAGGTCCCTCCTCCTTTTCAGACATGGGTTTTCAGGAAACTAATACTAGAGGGTTTTGTTTTTGCTTTTTAACTGTTCTGAATATTCTGCAGAACACAGCCTCTGCTTTTAGCAAGTTATAAAGCTGGGTGTGTGTATGTGGATATATGTGTGTGTGTGTGTGTGTGTGTGATTAGAATGAATATATATGATTAGATATATAATGTCTATAATTTAAGCTTTTTGAAGTTAGAAACCATATCTCATATTTCTCTTGTCACAGCACTAAGCACATAATAATGACTGTGAAAAATGAGTATTCTTGAGTTTGTCTTTTTGGTACGATCTCAGCATTAGGAATCATCTCAGGTCCTCTTTTAAGTATATGATCAGTTATGTCAGAAGATCTTAACCCGAGGCCCATAAATGGAATTTTGAAAGTCCATAAACTTTCTAAAATAGTAACAAAAATTTATGGGTATTTTTTTTTCTTTGGGAAAGGGTCCATAGATTTCCTTAGCTTCACAAAGGGGCCTCTCTTCTCTGAAGGTTATAAACAACTGAGCTACCCAGAGATATCTTGATCATGGGTCTCCTCTGCCCAGAGGAAAGGCTGGGGTGAAAAGCGAGGATGCATGCAGGAGGGCCCTGTAACGCTGGTGGACAGAGGGTGGCCATTTAGTGCTCCCATGCCTGCAGTTCATCAGGACTCACCCACCTGTACTTAGCAGCCCAACAATTTCATATCAAGGTGGGAGAGAAAAATCTGAGACTGTCTGAATTGAATGATAGACAACATCTTGTATGCTGTGAGTGGGGAAGAAACTGGAAGGGTTAGCGTTTCGCTCCCTTGACATTTTGACTCCCCACTGCATTCTGGGGAGGGCTCTAAGGCCTTTCAGATTGCTCAGTCATGACCCACATGATATTTTTTCAAGTGATAAAGGACAGCACATTAAGTATTTTGTGTATTTTCCAATTTAAACAGCCACAGTAAGGCCTGACTCTTAAGAGCAGATTGTTTGTAAACCCCCATTAATATCAATTGTCTTTTCAGTTCTAAAACTCTGATCTTGGAGTGAGAGTTTTACATAATAATAGCATATTTTTGTAGTCCTTGATAGTTTATGAAGTATTTGGGTTAGTGTAGGTAGCTAGATATTAATAAGAAAGAAAGCAAAGGGATCAGACATCATTGTCACACCAGGAAGCTACAACTTCGCACACTCCAGGGGGTCACAGCATTGCCCCAACAAGGATTAACACCCTTCCCTTCCCCCATCTGGTACCGGATTATGGGGGGGGGGGGCAGGGGAAGGTAAGCACATCACAATAGAAGTCAAAATGACCCAGGGAAGGTGCCTGACCATAGAGGCCTGTCAATCTAGCCTGGGGAAAGAAGAGATTGGTTGGGAGGTGGCCCCATCCGAAGCCCTCAAAAGCTTGGAAGTCGACTGGATATTTTGAAAAAGTGCCTAGACCATCCCATGCTCCATATAATATAATCCCAGGGAACAAAGAAGAGCCCTCGCTCACCAGCTAACCTGCGCTGGCCTGCTGTGCTCATGCATCCTCTCTCCACAGCGATGTGGCCTTAGCAGCCTCATGGCCAAGGCCACGCAGACTCTAAACGCAGGCTCCAGGCGGGACCCTGTGCACACACAGCGACAGGTCACCGGGGGGAACAGAAGCTGAGCTGGCCGGTGGTGAGGAAGGCTGGCCTGGGCTGAGCCCTAGCATGGCACAGGAACTCTGGACAATAGCTGGCCCCGATTTTCCACAGCGGGGTGGGACATTGGGAACCCAGGAAGGGCAGCCATCTATTTTCACCCAAATAAACCTTACCACCTGGAATCATCTTCCTTGTGGGTCCCCGAAAATGCTTTTATTCGCCACAGGGCAAGCACCCCACTTCCACCGGCAACACTTGGACTATGTTCTCAACAATCATGTACTATTTTCAAACACAGAGGGGCTCTGAGGGGGTTCCCTGATCTATCTCACCCCTCTTTGGGTGCACCTTAGGTTGATTTCCTGAGAAGTACGTTCCCCAGCTCCCTTCAGGTTAGCATCTGACAGTTTCCTCAGTTACTGAGCCCTCTTCCTGCTCTTTAAATCTGCCTGCTCTCATCCTGTCTTCAGAAGTCATTTATTTAAGATCTGAGGAACTAATGTTTTCCTGGCAAACCTGGAGGGATACTTTGCTGTTCTTTCCCTTCTTTCATCAAGTCTGGAGACCTGCTTAGCGGTAAAACAGTCAGATTGATCTACTTTAAATCAGATAGCCCAGCCGTCTGAAGTGGGAGTTCTCAGGGCACCAGTGAATGGCAGCCTGTCCATGGTGGATGCAAATATTTCACTGATGTTACTGTTTGGTTTGAATACAAAATGAGGATGGAAAATTGTCCATTAGAGATGACAGTCTGGTTGAGTGGTCCCACTGCAATGACAAGTCTCCAAGGAACTAGAAGGAACTGGGAGGATTCCAAAGGCTTGATAAATCATGAAAGTTTTAAAACTGCACTGTGTGAAAGGGGAGCGTGGTATTTCTTAATTTGACAAATATTGCTCATAAAACCCAGGGCGTCATCACAAATGGCAAGAGGGGAAATATTTCAAAGCTGAGGCCAAAACAGCAAATATAAGAACGGCTGTGAAATGAAAACTCTTTTCAGGAAAGTATGACACCAGCTATGTGTGCCAGTAATTCTGACAGGTGCAAGAAAAAGGAGCGGTACAGAGAGCCATTCCCTGCAGGAGCAGGGCCAGCCCCCCGCACACGTCGGCAACTAGTACCAAAGGTCCGGCCTGGCTGCCCGTCATCGCCCTGGAAGAAATCCAACCTCACTTCCACTGGAAAATGGAGCCTAAAGAGCTAGGAAGCTTGTAATAGTTGCAGGAAAACAGGAGGTGAGTTCATAGAGCCTGGATAAGGTGTGATATAGGCAGTTGGTCCCAAATAAAGGACACTTTCAAGATTCTGCCTTGTATTTTCTCTTTTTTAAGCTTATTTAGTAATATCTGGCTCAATCAGTTGTCCCATGTCACTTCATTTTCTTAAGTTTTGGTTTATTAGCATACACATGGGGATTCTGGATTTTTTAAGTGAGAATTCTCTTTGCTGTGTTCATCAAGCACTCTTTTGATTGCCTAATGAGTTATGAAACAGATCAAACCACATTTCTGCACTTACCACAGCAAAGGCAAGGGGGAGCAGAATTTGCCTTGGATTTAAATCCTAGTGTCCCACTTACCAGCTCAGTGGCCCCAGGCAAATCACTTAACTTCTATGAGCTTTTCTTTCTCTAATTTGTAAAAAACAGGATTAGAGTTGCTATTTAAAGAAGGCTGTGTGAATTAAATGAGCTTCTATTTGAGGGACATGCTTAGTAAAGTACCATAAAAAAACAGGAATGTCCCCTACATAGGTGTCTCAGATTAATATCAGTGGGAGTTAAGAAGGTGGTCAGGCATTCCCTGAAGGAAGTGGTCAGACAAAAAGAAGGTGGTAGGAGGGGCTCCCTGAGAGGGGAGGCTAATTTCATATACAGGTTTTAGTCCTGAACTCTAAGTTAGATTAGCACTTGGATATCTTAGTAATCAGTATCTCTCTGAGTACATGGTTGAACTGAAACTACTTTTTTACTGAGGACGAGGCATACAGAGGGGCAGAGTCAGTGGGCTGAGTTGCTTTTTGGGATCGGTAACCATGTGTGTGAAGACAGCGGAAGGGTTGTAGGTAAAAGAAAGTCTGTGCTCTTGAGGAGCCTGATAATGCTACTCCCTTGTGATTCCCCTGGTTTTTAAATGTCATTTGCTTCACAGACTCTGAAGCTTCATCCTGAATTCCTAATGTGGAAATACTCGTGTGAGCGCGAAGCGGCTAAGCTAGGATATTGAGTGATTTCCTCCTGCCGGTAGTGCCGGTGACTCAGGCCACCCTCCATCCAAGACCTGGACTCTGCTCCCACTCTGCAGAGTCCAGACCTGTCCAGGCCACTGCTACTGCTGTTCAGACACTAGCAACCTGAATATCTCAGGCTTGTTTACTATTTAGCTCTTTAAAAATAAGTGCATGAATTAAAAACAAACAAACAAAAAAACAAGAACAGGAATGTATTCATGGAAACAGGTAAATAATAATTTCACCTGCGAGGCATAGCCCTGATGAGGCGTTAGCTACAAAGCTGCTGCTGAGCTCTGAGATGTTTTTTGGTTGTTGGGGTGGATTTTCTTAAGCTTGCTTAATTCCATCCCTAGACCAGAATTTTCATGACATGTTGCTTGCTGAAGTCATTCTCTTTCAGGACTGCAGCCACCCAGAAGCTGCTTGCCCTTACGGTTGCCTGTCTTTTCAATGACTTCATAAGCAACTTGGCAGAGTCCTGCCTGAACATCCCCTCTGTGCTCAGTGGCTGCAGTTACAGCACCAGTTTTTGTTCATTTTATATCTTCAATGAGCTCTTTAAATAAATAGTGACAGGATGGAGAGGGAGGAGTGAACCCGATGCTGGGGCTTGAGGAGAAGTTCGGAAACATAAAATAAGGCACTTCGGAGTTCAGTGTCAGTACAGAGGCCACTGCCTGTCTCCATTCACTAAGTGTTTCCCTCACTTACCATCGCATGATTGAGCCACAGTGGAAAGATGCCGTCTAGGACCTTAGGGTAAACAAGGTCTCGATCGTAGAGAAAGAGGATCCAGAATGACAAGAATACAAACTGGAATATAAAACATAAACATAGCATTAGGTTTGTTTTCAATCAGAGCTTTCTGAGATAACCAAGGAAACATAGCAAAATCAAAATAGATACCTGTTTTAAAGACATTAGACGAATGTAAAATAAAGAAAAAATTCCCATACGGTAGAATTGTAATATCAATTCTCTGGGGAGTCTGGAGAGTTAGGGACCAATTATTTGCCATTGTGGCAGGCAGGGAGGATATGGGTAAACGGGATTTGTAGAGCAAGTATGGCACTCCAGTTTCGCTTTGCAGGACACCTGCTCCTTCAACCCCATACATCTGAAGGCCAAATTTGTTTTCCCTAACAATGGAATTTATTCATTTTTTAAGGCTTAGAAATTGAGGCTTCAGAATTTAAGAAGATAAGAAAATTGGAAAATTAATAGTGTCTTTTTCCCCCATCTCTACACTGACTTTGATGTAGAGAATGGACCCCTTGAAAAGATAGCCAAGGGGTAAGAAGGATGAGCTGACCCTAAACCTCTGAGCAGTGGACAGAGCCAGATCTCAGGCAACTAGCTAGGAGTTTGTCACCACGCCCCTCTCCCAGCCTTCTGCTTCCCCTTGCCGTGTCTATGCAGGGCCTGGGCAAGGAGAGTGTGACACTCAAGGCACTCCGTGTGGCTGCTCCCTGCACTCCTGGTGAAAGTTTAAAGAGAGAAGTCATTGGTTAAAATGAAATGACTTCCCAAGCTAGTTAACTAACTGAGAGCTGGCTCCCTCCATTGCTCAGAGGTTTAGGGTCAGCTCATCCTTCATACCCCTTGGCTGTCTTTTCAAGGGGTCCGTTCTCTACGTCAAAGTCAGTGTAGAGATGGGGGAAAACGACACTATTAATTTTCCAGTTTTCTTATCTTCTTAAATTCCGAAGCCTCAATTTCTAAGCCTTAAAAAAAGAATAAATTCCATTGTTAGGGAAAACAAATTTGGCCTTCAGATGTATGGGGGTGAAGGAGCAGGTGTCCTGCAGAGTGAAACCGGAGTGTCATACTTGCTCTGGTATCTGAGAACTCAGTGTTTGGAGAGTTTCGTTTTGTATTTAAGTTTGAAGTCTCGGTACTATAGGAAGCAGGACAATGACAGGTGGAAGGAGGTAGTCACGTTTAATTATAGGCCCTGTTGGGCAGCTGCCTTGCTTGATTTAAGTTTGTTTCCACTCTAACCAATGAATGAAAAACATAAGCAATGTCACAGAAGTGCCGACAGTGTCAGCAAACAACCTTACTCTCCATTGCTTGTGTCTTGCTTCTTTCCAATGTCCATTCATTCGACAAAATGAATGAGGCACCCATTCTGTGCCCCACACCAGGTATTTCAGACAGATTGTCTCTCTCTCTCTCCCCTCAATTGTCTTTTTCATGTGTCAACTTTGAAGTTTCTCATACCTTTTTTTTAGTGGTTTCCACTTGCAGTGTTTACTGTAGCAAGTGAAACAAGATGTATAAAATGGTAAATTAGTTATCTTTCTCCCTAGCGCTCTTCATTCCCATCACCTTGCTGGGACCAAGGTTATCTCGACTGTATTTTGATTAAGAATGGTCCTTTAAACGTCCCTATTAGACAGCAATAAAGATCTTGTATCAAACATTCACAGAGACACAAAAGCTAATGATAACTCTGTCAGTATGTGCTCTATTTCCTGAAGACACTGGGCACTGTGATGCAGTCCTCAGGACATTTATGCAAAAGGCAGTCACTCTGGTCTATAATAACGGACTCTCAAACAGCCTTGCCACCCAGGAGACAGGTTCATGCACATGCACATGCGTGTTACATTGCAATATACATTTTTGTAACTCACTGTGGATACAGGAAAAGCCAGTGTGGTGAAAAGCAGGTCTCTGAAGGCAGTTATGAACTTAATGTCTTTCTTCTCTTTAATTCTTTTCAGCACATCTTCCAGGCAGGCGACCCCAAAGAAAATGGCCTGCAACAACTAAATTCATTACAACAAATGAGGGCGTTTTCATTTGCTTTAATTAATGCATTACTCACCAACATAAAGTTCCATCCCTCTGGGAGCAATGTTGATTTGAGAAGGAGGGGGGGGCTGTTGGCTGTTTTGGTTGACAGCCAATTCAAGAGCTAGTCTTGCAGCTCACTGGGCCCTGACCTTGCTCGCTAAAACTGATTGAGTACAGTCGTTTAGGGGGTAATAATGTGTACAGTATTTAGTGTAATGGACTTGAGCTAAAATGGAAACAAATAAAGAGTCAGCTTAAAAGGAGACTGTAATGAGCTAGATACCTTGGCTGCACAGAGGTGAGAAAAACCAAATCAACAGCAGAAGGGCAGAGAGCCACACACAATGGTGGACATGTTCTTCCTGGAAGAAAAATTAAGAAAAGTGCCTAGTGCTGCACTCTAATCAGAGAAGCCAGAATCAGGGTCAAGAGCACCATGAAACTGTGCTCTCCTGAGGCAGATGCACAAAATGGCATCTAGCTTATTGGAGGGAGAAGCCAGTGTTCCTCCTTCATTAAAAGGGGGTGCCTGGAGGCCTTCCAGAGAAAATCTGCCTGGGAGAGTGGTTTAAATCCACAGAGATACAGCAAGCCATGGGTGCTGGTCAGTCACTAACTACTGTGAGGTCCTCGAGCTCATGTGAAAGAGAAGAGGGCCTTTTCTAAGGCAGTAAGATCACCTAAAGGCAAACTCAGCCCACTGTTAGTGTTTTGCACTAACCCATGACTTCTAATACAGAGCTGGGGTTGTTTTTGAATTACGCTTGCATCAGAATTCATTTTACTCCTTGAAAGCTCTGGATTGGTACAAAGGGGTCAGGACTCTGCTCTGAGAGTTTACACCAGGCAAGTTCTGGAGCCTGAAAACTTGATGGATCAAGTTGGCTACTGGGGAATGAACTCTGGGGTCTGGACTCTAGGGAAGCTCTAGAAGAGTTGGCCACCTGCCACACCTTGGGCTGAAGGTGTAGGCAGGGGAGGATCCAGAGGTGGACTAGGTCAGGGATACTCCCCAGGTAGGTCCTGGACCAGCAGCACCAGCAGCATCCAAAAGCTTGTTAGAAATGCAGGACCTCAGCCCTATCCAGACTATGGAATCCGAATCTTTGGGAATGGGGCCCAGAAATTTGTTTTTTTTAACAAACTCTTTAGGTGATTCTTATATATGCTAAAAGTTCTAGAACCACTAGAACTTAAGTGACATAAATTCATCACTTAAAAATCCTAGTGACTGCTGAAAGCTATAATAGCTGAATTTTAATGATGTCTTGTTATGTGCCAAGTACTGACTTGGGCTTTTAATTTCTAATAATCTTATGAAGTAACTCCTATTATTATTCCCTCTCTTAACCCATATTACAGATGAGGAAACTGAGGAATAGAGAGATGAACAAACTTCCTTAAAGTCTCAAAATTGGTAAATGTCAAGGCCAGGATTTGAGATTCAGAGTCTGGTTCTTGAGCCAGACTTAAAAAAAAGTATCAGATTTCTAAAAACAGTTCAGATAAATAACTGTAGGAGGTCAGAAGAGAGACAATTATCTACAGGTGGGAAAATTAAAAATTACTTCAAAAAACACTGATGCCTGATTTCCACTGACCCAGAGATTTTAATTTAATGGGTCTGGGGGGTGGCCTAGGCTTTGGGGGTTTAAAAAAATTCTCCTAGGTGATTCTAATCATGGCAGCTAAGTCTGAGAACCACTGGCCCAGAAGAACTTCCACTTGGAAAACCAGACCTGGCCTTCTCGGGAGAGGAGGGGTTGTGGAGAGCTAGGGAGTTGAACCCTCCTGGCGGGATGAGATTGCTAGAGAAAGAAGAGGGAAGAGAGGGAAAAGAAAAGTGGAAGGTGAATGCCAAGGGAATGCCCTCATCGAAGGGACAGGAGGGGTAACAGACCAGCAAACCAGCTAATAATTATCAGAAGGTGGGAACCCAGGAATGGACAAGAAACTCACGGTCCTTGAAGGAGAAAGCTTCAAGCAAGAAGGAACGTTCCAGGGCAGGGTGGGCAATTTTAAATGCCAGAAAGAGGTTGCCATCCCAATGCTTGTCATCTGAGTCTGCCACTTGGCCCCTAGGGCTGTAGAATTTGAATGCAGTCTTTCGCACATGGATATTAGATGCCCCTCTCCCCACCTCCAGCAGCTCTCACCTCCCCCCTGGTTTCACTTCCCGCTCCTCAGGCCACAGCAGGCAGCTGCTCTAGCTAGGAAAGGCAGGCACGGGGCCTGGGCTCCAGGCGAGGAGGCCTGCACTGTTCCATCAACAGCAATTAATCACGTCCTGAGCAGGGAGTGTCTGCCAGGTTTTCCCTCTTTGGGGAGAGGTTGCCTCCACCCAGCATGTGAAGTCCATGTGACCACTTTCCTTAGCAAGAGCCTCCTCAGGTCATCATGAGTCAAGCTCCTCCTGACTTTCTCTTGCCTTTCCCAGTCACAGAATGTGGCAATTGGGTCGGGGAAAAGAACACATTACTCAGAACTTCCTCAGCTTGTCCTTCATCAGTAAAAATTTGCTGCACACGGCAGACATGCCAATCACTCCTCCCCCTCCAGCCCCAGCTCATGCTATTTCACAGGCATGTGCCACAGTGTAAAGATAGCGACCGGGTGTGCGTGACACAGCCTTTTCCCGTTGGTCTCAGTCCTCACTGATGTGCCATCCTCTGTATCAACAAGGGATATTTACAGAGCCCTCGCATAGGAGCCCAGGAGGGAGCAGCCAAGAGAAGCAAGTAGGCAAGAACTGGGGCACAGAGGACCACGCTGCAGAGCTGGAGGGCACCGAGAGGGGGCGCCATGACCTCCCCCAGTGAGGAAGTTCCTGGGGGCCTGAAGGATAGGTTTGGATCAGCTCGAGGAAGAGCACAGTGGCCTGCTTTTCCTCTAAGGAAAGTACGATGAAACGTCTTACAGAATGTGCGTGGAAAGAATAGTCAAGGGAGAAATTAGTGGCTGTTATGGGGTGAATTTTGTCCCCTGCCTCAAAATTGATAAGTCAAAGTTACAATCCCCAGTACCTTAGAATGTGACTGTGTTTGGATATAGGGTCTTTAAAGAGGTAATTAAGTTATGACTGACGTCTTTATAAGAAGAGGTGATCAGGACACAAGACACATAGAGGGAAGACCGCATGAAAACACAGGAAGGAGGTGGCCATTTGCAAGACAAGGAGAAAGATCTCAGGAGACACCAACCCTGACAGCTCCTTGATCTTGGGCTTTTAGCCTGTAGAACTGAGAGAAATAAATTCCCGTTGTTTAAGCCACCCAGTCTGTGGCACTCTGTTATGGCAGCCCGAGCAGACTAACACAGCAACATTAAACTACGACAGCAACAACTGGCCTTGTTTTAACAACATCACTATCATTTACATTTTTCAACTATTTTGGCTTCCCAGGAAAGTAGAGCTAATGGTATCTTCTTGATCAAGACCAACTTCAGAGCCGCTGCTCTTTGATTTACCTTTTTTTACTAGCCCTTCCCTAATTCTGTTTGTTCTTTTGTGCCTTTTTCTGCAATGTTGCTGGTCTAAGTTTGCTAGATGTCTTCCATTTTTGTTGCTTGCTGACAAATTTACCACTAGGAGAGCTGAATTTACATTTTTATAACTAGTGCAATTTAAGAAACCATAGCTAAAGGATATTTAGTTTTTATGTTCATGTGTCTTCAACAAAATTCACAAAAATCTTGAAATCACGGAAACTTAGTCTCTCTAAGTCATCAAGTTTATGGCTTTGCCTTTAAGCCAGAATCCTTTTAAACCATCGCAGGAAATGAGAATTTTTTTCTACGTAAAACATAATTCCAGAGAGGGAGATCCCACAAGTTTCCTGAGCAAGACATTACAACTCTTATTAGATGAGTCAAGTAACCCAATGCCCAGCTCAGCACTCCAGGCCTGACTTGCACAGGCCGGTACTTTCTTAGTTCTTGCCTTGAAAATGATACAATACTTGCAGTGAGAGACTATTTCAGAATAGAACAGCAAATGGGGACTAATGGTGATGAGTATTTTTTATAACTGTGGTGCCTAGGGTGGTGGCACTTGAGGCAGGTAGAGGAAGCTTTTGCCAAATATATCTGTATTATATGTGCATACTATTTCAACCCTCATTGATGCATTTAGCTTAAGTGAGAACTTGAGATCAAGGATGGGAAAGAGAACATAGGGGAAGGTGTGAAGAACACAAGCTGGAATGGTGAGGGGGGGAAAAGAGAGGAGAAACCAAGAACACCGAGGGATAGGTTGGAAAGAATTATAAGAATGCTTGGCCAGCGTTGTACAGCTGATGGGCAGGGGCTTCAGTGAGTAGTAGGATGGCTGTAGGTTAGACTGCCCTTCAGGCCGGGCCCTAGAAAGTGCTCTTCCTAGTTAGAACCAATTCTGGTCATTTATTCATGCAACCAGCATTCACAACGTGCCTGTTGGGTGCTAGAAATTGTATCAGGCATCATTCAGGCCAGGGCAGGCTCTAGAGTAATACGTTTTTATTAGGACAGAAAAGCAGGCAGAGGAGGAACCTTTTCTGTTTGTTTATTCTTTTACAGTATGTAGATCAGCATCCTTGGGAAGCAAACCTGAGACTCTGAGATCTGCCTGCGGAGTGCTCATTGAGGGTGCTCAGACCCTCTGTGAGAGCAGGGGAAGGAAGTGGGGAACAGGACAGAGCAGCAGGAAAAGCTAAAAGGCAATGTGGCTGCATGGAATCAGCTGATCCCTGAAGGAGCCCTGGAGCTGAGTGGCCCTTCAGAGTTGTCTTGGAGCTTGGCCTTTGCACCCCAAACCAACCAGTCATTGGACACAGCAACCCCAGGGAGAACCCTAAGCCTTGGACCCCAGGCAACTCCTTCCGCTGAACCCAGTTCTGGAACAGGCACTCAGCTGTGTCATCAGCAGCCAAAACTTCTTCCAAGAGTTAGGGAATGAGTACCTCAGTGCTGGGGAGGTGGGGTATGTGAGTGTCACCCCTCAGTATCCACTACATATAAGGGCATTGAGGCACAGAGAAATTAGATAACTCACTCAAGATCCCACAGCAAAGGAATGGCAGAGCCAGTATTCACACCAGGCAGTCTGACTCCAGAAGCTAACCTTCAGTCACTCATCTCTACACCGTGTGTAAACAATCTGCCAAAGTGCTGTCACAGCTGCTCAATGAGTGATAGTCATTTCATTTGGACGTTGGTGGTGACTTACAGCCTCTGTCAACCCTCACCCTTTCAGCGTTCTGAGAGCTAGAAACAGTGGCCTTAGCATTTTTGTACGATAGATAGTTAAGTATATTTCTGGCTGTTGCATTTAAGAGTTCCAAAGATTAATATATTTAACCTAAAGATGGACATTAAAAGTTGGCCCCAAGTATTAAACTGTGTTCTGTAACATAAATGGATGCTTGTCTTCTCACTGTTCATGGGACTGCCTTGGAATTTGGACCAATGGAGCATCTTCAAGGATCTCTCTTCCCCAGGACCTGCTTTGCTCTCCCTGAGAACCTGTGTGATGAGGTCATGGTATTCATCATGGGAGCTTGAGGGTAATGAGGTCAGAACTGCCTGCGGCTTGGGTAAATTAATGGAGAGGGGAGAAAGGTCATGCCTCTGGGGTGGGGGAGTGGGGGGCAGGGAGGGGCCCACCCAGAATAGCTCCTGGACAACCCAGTTACGTGGAACCACTCCTAACAATGTTTCAGAAGGATGATCATTTTTAAAAAGAGGAAAACCCAGAAAACTGTGTGAACTCTGCAAGCCACATTGTAGCTGAAAAGTCCCCTACATCCGCAACCCCCCAGTTTGCCTTCCCTGGAGTCAGAGACAGTCGCTGCATTGAAGTGGAGTGGATGAAGAGGAGGGGACAGACAATGGTGGAAGACTGAGGCGCCAGGAGCCTGAGCCGACACGAGCACCCTGAGGATGCCCACAGCACTGCCTTGTCTCCACCCGAGCTCCGGGGGCGTCCCCAGTTAGCACCAGTCACTGCTGCCCGGTTGAGCCTGCAAACTCTACCTCCAGGACTGTCCCAGCGCTGAGGGCCTCCAGCTGGGCAGCTGCAGCAGGGCAAGCAGTGGCTCCATGGGGAGCCGGAGCATGCAGCATGCAGCCTGCAGCCTGCAGCCTGCAGCCTGCAGCCTGCAGAGCGAGGGAGGTGAGCAAAGGGGAGGGTGGCTGGCCCTTGCCTGGAAGCATGACCCACCAGCCACGGCGCTCAGGAGACCCAGGCTTCACTAAATCACCCTCCCCTCTGCAGCACTGCTACTCAAAGAGGAGATGACCAGAAGCTCACCGCCACCTCCCTCCCGTCTTCTCTTGCCTTCTCCCACTGCTTACACCCTTCTGAGCACTTCCCACAGGCCACACTATTTATCACTCTGTGATTATGAACTACTTTTATTTCTATTTGACAGATTTGGAAATAGAAGACACAAAGAAATACCTAGCTCAGGATCATAGAGACAGTAGCTGGTGGAACTGAAGCATCATTCCAGAGAGCTCGTGATCCTAAAGCTCTGCTTGTAACCACTAGGCAACACTGCCTCTCCCTCCCAATAGAGAATTGGCTGCCTCTTCCCTGGGGTCAGTTTACTCCATTAGGCAGAGACTCACGTGTCCCATCTCTTCCCTTTACTCTCTTTAGGCACTAGGCATGAATAGGTCACCATGACCAATTCTCAGTAGCACCCCCTCACACCTCCTCTCACCCTGCCCCCTGCCACCAACCCTGTTCCTTCCCTTTGAATCCCCCGGGACAGCTTGAGGAGGAAATGAGGCACACTCGGAATGCTGACTTCCACTGAGGTGGACTTTGCTCTTAAAAGGGGGGGCGTAACTGATATTCAGCCAACTAGAAGGTAAAGCAATGCAGAGGGGAAGACTGTAGATTTCCTGGAAAGCAGGATAGGGTACAGACTTCAACAAGCTTACATAAAATAAATTTTTAAATCTTATAGGAAGCTGAGACCTCTATAACTTTATAAGCACAACTATTAATCATTAGTTAACACTAACCATTAGGAAACACAACCATTAATCAGCCCACTAGACCTAGAAATTTTAAGGCCCAACATTTTACCTTAAGTAAAATTTGAAATCTATCCTTAAATTGATCCTCTGGAACACATTCAACCCATCTTCACCAACTGAAAAACTTTGCATTGTCACACTTTCAACATGACACCTAACAGAGCTCAGAAGGGAAACAGCCACAGGTGAGCCCCTCTCTGCTCATTTCAAGGGCCAGAAGACTACTTGCTCAGGAATGCAGAAAACGCTAAGGTCAAGTTCAGTCCACAAACCAAGTCACCCAGTTTCTATTATGGAGGTACTGTGTGCAAGCCATTGTAGCAAATACAACTTAGAATCATAGACTGTTAGGACTCGCAGGACCTAGGGGACAAAATTCCTGTTTTGCAGCCATTTACAATTTGATCGGAATATTAAGATTCACATGTGGGTGGCAATTAGAAAACAACACTGGACAGCAATAAGCAGACACTGACCATGCTATTGAAACTCAGGGAAAGAAAAAACAAAGGGCTGGAGTTGGTCAGCAGAGATTTTAAAGAGAATATGGGATTTCAGATGGTCTATGAAAGTAACAAAGTGGTGGAGAGGCAGGTAGGCCTTTCATTGGAGGATGGTGTGAACATGGGTAGAGTAGTGATAGCAAGAAGCCTGGGGGTCAACACTGGAGGAGACACAGGCATTCCCGGAGAAGAGAGCAGCATTCTTGGGGAGAGGGGGTCCTGAAGGTGGGTTAGTGAGCTTTTAAATCAGGAAGTTGAAATTGGTGCCATAAGGCCAAAGGGAGCTGCTGTAGTGTCTTGAGCAGCAGAGCACATTTCTTAAGCAGGCTTATGATGTTTAAAACCAAACCAAACCAAAAACAGTGCTTTGGAAAGATTAGCCTGGAATCTGAGTGGTAGATGGATGGATTGGTAAGGAGAGGACAATGAGATGATCTGGTCATCCAGGTAATTAGAGCATGTAATGAGAGAGGCAGTAAATTTGGGGAAGATGGAAAAACATAGGATTCAGGGGCTAACTAGTTAGGGAAGCAAAAGGGGGATTAACACTGGGAAATAATAATGTCTGACAAAATAAGTGGGGTTTTTCTCCATTTTTTAGAAATGTGGGAACTCTGGGGCATGTAACTGATGTAGAATTAAGAAGTCAGGGAGCTAGTTTGTGGGAATAGGTGATAAATCTGTTCTTAGCCATACTTAGCCTGAGAGGGGACCCTGGAATTTGGATTTGATAACACCATTAATTCTGACTACAGACATGCCTCTCTTTTCATTGACCATTTTTAATATAAAGCCAAAAAATACACAAAGCTGAGGTTTTTGCTGTATTATTTTAGCTCCACAAAAGCATTTCTCTTGTTGTTGTTTTCTGTTTTTTATTTGTTTGTCTTACTCCCATAAAATTCTATGATTACAATGAGTGTCACCTTGATATTTTCAAGCACACTAAAACTGTGTTCAGGCCTTAGATTTTCCAGGCCAAAATCAGAGGCCAGCAAATGACCAGAGAAGGAGCAGCAGAACCTCCAGCTTTGCTTGATTTGAACTTCCTGAATTTGCAACCCCTTAGCCTTTCAGAGTCACTGTTTCCACTATGTGTAACCTCTGGTTAGGGGTGTGACTCCAAAGGATCGGCAGGTCTTGTTCCAGCTTCTGAAATCAGATGTTGACATTGGCACTCTACATTTTAGTTAAAGATATCAAATATTAATTAGCATCCCCAAAGGATGTGCCATTTTTAGCTTTTAACTCTAAAAATATGTTTGCGTGTTCCCAAAGCATTTTTTTAAGTCTGTTTTTCTCCCATTCATTCACACTCCATTCATCAGAATGCGGTCAGCAGAGCTAGAAAGACAAGAAGGGATCGAGTCATGTGGTTCGTTTGTAAATAGTTGAAAATCTGTATTTCCCATTTGGTTGGGGGATTTTGTCCTTGAAGACAGAGCCTTGAGCCTATGAAAAATTGAAGTGGGATCTGAACATGGCAAAATGTGTTTGCCTTTCTCAGATAAATCTGTCAGTCTGCATGCGCTGGAATATGGCATTATCCCTCCACTAGAAATTCCACTTCTTGTGCAGCATATGTCCTTCTGCCTTCCTCACAGACTCCCCCAGCCAAGTTCAAAATCCCCCTGCATTTGTAGTCAATCTCATGGTGAAAACATTTAGTCCCCCACTCGGGATCAACTGAAAAGAGCCCCAAGATACGTCTTTTCAAAAAGCATTTAAGCCGGGCCAGGCTTGGCTCAGTTGAGCATCGACCTAGGATCCAAAAGATCCCAGTTTGATTCTCAGTTGGGGCACGTGCCTGGGTTTTGGGCTGGATCCCCAGTCAGGGGCATGCAGGAGGCAGCCAATCAATGACTCTCTCATCATTGATGTTTCTATCTCTCCCTCTCCCTCTCCCTTCCTCTCTCTGAAATCAATAAAGATATATTTTTTAAAAAACACAAAACACCATTTAACAATTAGCCAGACCAAAGTGTAGCTATGGATAACTTCTAAATTGGGCTCCTCAGAGCAAACTGCTAGGTAAAAGTGAAAGCCAAAACTCAAAAGCAGTGAAGAAGGAACAGAAATAATGCAGCTTTGTGTTTAACAACATGTGAAGGTGACGCGCTCTACTCTAGGCAGGCAGACTGCTCCCTGAGACGGTGGCGTGGACTTACCAGATTAAGGAATGTCAGGTACTTCCACTGTCCGCCGTTTAGAAAGATTTGGGATATCTGCATATCCCTTCCTTTCTGTGAGATGTGGTAATTGAGGAAGATATACCAGCTCATAACAAGGAAATGGTAGACGCATGTCGAAGTCCTCGCCATGGCTCAGCCTGGCCAGGGAGCTGGGAACGTCTGGAGTGGCTTCTGTGTCTGGCGTCCTTCTGCTGGGTAGGAGCTTATAGCAGGCAGGAGAGCTGCAAAACACACCCCCTGGGATTGAGAGCTCCAACAAGATTGAATTTTGCTTCCCACAAAGGCTCCCTCCCGATGAACTTTGTGACGGGATTATTGTTTGTTTTCAGATGCCCCATTAAGATAACAGGTGGCCTGCAGATTTGCATAACTGCAAGGACCAAAGCAAGAGCTGCTCTTTGCTCTGCCAGGCTGGGGTGGGGTATGGTTAAGTGACCTTATTATAACTACCACGAAACTGATGAAATCCCGTCGTGGCTGCATTCTCCCTTCTGTCCTGTTCATTTGAGCACAACAAGGAAGTTGCAGTAATATCCCTTGAGACAATGAGGGGCAGGTTGATAAACCAGGAGGGAGAGGCTGTGAGCATATTTAGGACATGGAGGGAGGTGAGTAGAAAGGGAAAGAGAATTGACCTGTTGCTCCTGAGGTCTCTGAGGCCCCATAAAATCTGAAACAACATTTGGACCTCCAGGGAGCAGTTCCAAGGGTTGTGTGTGTGTGTGAGTGTGTTTGGTTGATTGGTTTTCGGTGTGTTTTTTGGGATTTTTTTTTTTTTAGTTTTGTTTCTGTACCCTGGAGAACCAAGGGTTACCCAGGGCTGTCCCAGACATTTTATTTGCATAGGTTTTTCTATACCCTGGGAGGGGAGAAGCATAGCAAGTGGTCTGTGGCCAAAGAAGCACAGGCAGAAATATATGATCGTGACCCCGACATACCTGCGTTTAGAAATCGCTGGGAGAGAATGAGGGTCTCTGCATCGCCCTGGGAGGATGGGAATGTGCTCAGGTTGGGCAGAGTTTGAAGAACTGAGCCCTGCCTCAGGCCAGACAGAAGAGACCTGAGAGAGAGCTGAGGGTGTGATACCTTGTGACATCACCAGCTTGTTTCCCTGGGCGACTGACCAAGAGGGTTCTGAGCAAACTCCTAAGGGAAATGCTATCAATGCAGTTGTGTAAGTTTGTAGTTGGTGCTGTTCAATAACTTAATCAAGGTTTACAAGTCCTGGGAGACAGAACCACAGGCTGTACCTGTAGGACAAGACTAAACAAAGCTACCATTTAAGAGTCTGTCATCGGATCCCAAACCTTGGGAACTGCAAGTGGGTGTAGAGGAAACCCGAGCCAGCGATAAAGGGTCTGCCTTGTAAACATTCCCAAAGGAGAGTGATCTGGGAAATGGGTGACATAAAACTATACATAGTCCCATGGCCTAGGTTAAAATTGCACATACCAATAGCTGTTAATACTTTTCCAGTACTGAATATATGACAGGCTTTGTTCCAAGTGCTTTACACACATTAACTCATTTACCCTCTAAACACCATTATAAATTAGGTACTGTTATGATCCTTATTTTCAGATGAGAAAATCGAAGCCCAGGCTGCTAAAAGAAAGCCTTCAGAAACAAGAGACAGAGCTGCAGCCTGCACGCTAACCAGTGTGTCTGACCACAAAGAAACAATGTTTGCTTTGCACACCCTCAGCCTCCCTTCCTTTTCTCCACTCCCTGCTGAGCCCCTTAAATTTTCTTTCTCTCTCATCAGAAAATTCTCTATCAAATATGTTTTGAAACTTGGTGCACATATGAATTGTTGTGCTATGTCTCCCAGGGCATTCTCATAGTAAATATCACTGTAGACAGGTTTTTATTCCCTTATGCAAACATCCCAAGCACAAGTCTGCAGATTGGTAAGGATTTGAGGCACACATGAGAAAGGCGAGGAAGACAAAGACCCAAATCTCTGAAATGTGTATGTTCAAACCTGACCTCTTACCACCTGGATTTTTTTTTCTTGCATTTGCCTCCATGCCCACAGATGAAGCCTCTCATAAATATTGATAAAATTGTTTATATTTATTTGTAAGAATTTTGACATTTAAATTTGAAATTCAATTGTTAGCATTTTAATGAATGATAGCATGTAATATATATATATAGTCATGCACTGCTTAATAATGGGGATACATTCTGAGAAATGTGTCACAGGCAATTTCATTGTTGTGCAAACATCAGAGAGTGCACTTTTGCAAATCCAGATGGTATAGCCTATGACACACCTAGGCTATATGGGATAACCTAGTTCTCTGTAAGGGAGGAAAAATAATTTTCCCTTTACGCTTCTGGGTTCTTGGCTGAGACATCCTTGAAATAAAACACAGGTTAACAGGAGAAAAATAAACAAAAGTTTAATAATGTGTTTAACATATAACATTTATATGCTGTACACATGGGAGAGACCCAAGAAAGCTGAGTAACTTGCCAAAATGACTAAAGTCACCACCTTAAGTAACACCTCCAGCTAAAGACAAAAGATGTTGGGGGTAGAGGGACTCAGTTAAGAGAGGTTACCAGGAAACACACAGTAAGCAAAATTAAGGCTGTCATGCAGATTTAACTCAAAGTTGTCTTCTCTGATGAAAAGCGCTTCTAGAGGTAGGTAATCCCCCTCTTATCTTAAAACACGTAACCTCTATTTGATATTCTGAGCTTCTCCCATGTCTGCTCTTTTTAAAAATTTACCAGCTTAAAATAATCTTTATGCCTTTTAAAAGACATATTTTGCAATGACCGATTCTGTTTCTTTGCAGCTCCTAGGCTCCAAACCTGTACTGCATGTTACTACACTGAGTACTTTAGGCAATTTGTATAATGTGTTGCACTGTGACTTTGCTACAGCCATGACATCACTGCGTGATAGGAATTTTTCAGCTCCATTTTAATCCTTTGGGACCACCATTGTGTCTGTAGCTTGTCATTGACTGTGGGAATGAAAAGGGGGCTATGCAATAAATCTGACAAGCTCAGCAGTGGCCAAAAGTAACCTCACAGGGTGATCTGATCATAAATTCCTAACTGGGCAGGTCATGGTGGACTATAACTTCCTCAGTAAGAGTTTTATTTTTGCCTTAAGAACGCCCTGTCCATTGTTTTGTGCATCTAAGTTAACACACCTTTGATATGCCAGAGTAATCCTCTTTTTCAGACCCCTGGGAGGCTTAACCACCCTCAAGGGAGTACAGATCTTGTTGCCTGTATACCATCCCTGTTTATTGTAAATGTTAAATATTAACTATACTGTAGCCTCCAATGTAAAAGAAGTATGTATCTCTCCATTCTTTTTATTCAGTCATAGAGATTTCCCCTCCTTGCTTTCTCCTGCCTCCTTAATCTACCAATGGATTTCATGTAATTCCCTCCTTTGATTCCAAATGTATAAAAGGAACTGCAAAACTGCCATTCTCTGAAGCATTTTCTCAATCCATTGAGAGCTTGCTTCTGTTGTAGGCAGACATGAGCAGAGCAAGGACAATGGGCTAGATACAGAATATCATCAGGGCAGAAAGCACCCAGGTGCCTAGCAACAGACAGTTGTAGGGTGGGACCCTGCCCCCAGGGTGGCCTTTCCACCATTGTGATTTGGACCCCTGACCTTTCCTCCCTAGAGATAACATCTAGGCCTCAGTTGCATTTCAGATCCAGGCCCAGAAGAGCAACAAAACCAGCCGCAGATGACCTCACAACCACCTGCTTTGATTAATGATCCCCTGTCCTGGTGCCAACCAATCAATCAGTGGAGACCACAACCCTGAGAGGACACACTTGGAAAACTGCTAAATATTCTATTAAGATCTTCCCCTGGGGCCTCCCCTAAAATCTCCTCCCTTAAAACCCTCAGGACAGAGGACCCAGTTCTCCCTCCCTCTCCCTCCTGGGAGCAACCTGTGCCTTTCCCTCTCCTTTTCCTTCCCCTCAGGCACATTACCTTTAGTTTCCTTACTCCCAGGCTCCCAGGGCCCCTCCTTTACCTCTATAGCTTGTTTCCTAAGCCCGTTTCTCTAGGAATTACTTTTCTATCTCTGTGATTTACCAAGTAAACGTTCTCTTACTGTTTGGGTCTTGGCTCTGAATTCTCTCCTAGCCAGAACCTAAGTCCCGAGGTTCCTGAATCCAGATCCGGTGTGACCCCACTGGTCTAACACCTGGTGCCCTCCCCGCCACCTACAACAGTTCCAGGCATGCCCTCAATTTGGCTCAAATAAAATCCTATAAAATGTTCTCTAGGTTCTTACATCAGCAACTGAACTGTCATTATGCAGTACATGACCGTATATGATGATTTGCATATCAAAAATATGTAATTTCTTAATTCAATATGTGTTCTTATAAATTATTTTTACAAAAGTATTGCCTAAAGGAAATTCCAACCCGTGACAGTATTTTCCTCATAATTTGTATCCATGGTTGAGTGATCAGATAAATTTTTATGAAGCACTTTTTCCATCTGTTCCCTGGAGCTTTGGGGAACAGGTGAAAGTTTGGGAAACATTGACAGTGCCACCATTTAGCTACACAATATTACAAACTAATACATACTAAGCCTGCTGTTAGCCTGTCTTTCCCCACTCTCCGAGTATTTGAAGGCCTCAGACACATCCAGAAGAAGTGGGAGAGAATTGTTCACTGACTTAAAAACTGACAGAAATTTTCTTACATAATACTAAAAATATATAATAAGTATTATTTTACACTTTGAATTGAACATTATACAGATAACTTGATTACTAAAAGTGACATTTTTAAAAACTCTTTTCACCCTCTGGAAATTTGGAACACTTTTTCATTTTAATCCTCACTGAAGGATATGTTTTATCAATTTTTCTTTTTAGAGAGAGGAAGGAAATGAGAGAGAGAGAAACATTGATTGGTTGCCTCCTGTACGAGACCTGACCAGGACTGAAGCTGCAACCTAGGTATGTGCCCTGACAGAGAATGGAACCCACAACCTTTTGGTGTACGGGAGACGCTTCAACCAACTGAGCCACCCAACCAGTGATGGAAGACTACTTTTTAATTTCACAAATACTTTTATTGAACAACTATTGTTAGGCACTACTAGGCTCCAAGGA